CAAACAGATTTTCCTACGGTGAACAGATAGAAATACAAGCACACATATAATCATGTGATTATCACACAAAACCATATCAAGCATATAATCACAATCATAATTAAGATCAATTAGCATAATACGGAACAGGGTTATCACACTATTCTAGGACTCTTGTCCCTTATCCGCTCATCTCAAATTTTTTCATCTCCGCAGACAACCTCGGCCTAGCCGAGATCACCTCAGCATCATGACCAGGCCACGTGACACCTCGGTTGACACTTTGGCGTCACCTTGGTCACGTGCTGTCATTCACAAAATATGTCCCCACAATTACATTTGCAAATTTCATAATTTGCAAAAATCATTGCAAGGTCAGGGTAATGGTATTAATATTATTCTCTTTCATCTCATCTACCCATCGTTTTTGAGAAAAACTTATATTTTCCGTTGTTATATTTTGCAAGTCTAATGATCTGTGAAAATCATTATCTTCTCCATTGTTACATTTTTCAAGTTTGATGATCTGCGAAAATCATTACAAGGTCAGTGTAATATTATTTCTTACTTTATATCTTTGTGTGTATATATCATTTTTCATAATATTTTTGAGTTTATCTACACATCTTTTCATCTTTTCAATTTTTATGCTCCTACATATTTTTTTAGAGTTTATTACATTTGTGTATCCATATTTCTTTTTTCTAATATTTTTCAGGTCTCTACACATCTTTTCATCTTTCCCATTATTACATTTTGCATAGTTTGAGCTTGCTTGCTTTTTAATTTATGGTTTGCATTTGTTTCTTAATTTAATCAGATTGGATTTGTTTCTTCTCATATAACACTATTGATATCTATTTCAACTTTTATAAATCTTATCTTTTTCATATCAAAATTGTTCACCTATAATTCAAGAAAATCATGTCTATCACATAACTTAAATTATTATTCACCAAAAAAAAAAAAAAAATAATAATTGTGATTTAAAGTATTAAAATGAATACAAATGTGAGTGGATGAATTGGTAAACGATATCCGATTAACTTAGATTTTTGTAGGCATGTTTTACTTGATATATTCTAAAATGTGAACGGTTCGGATTATCAAAATGGGCCCCAAAATGAGCCCATTATGCCGCACAATGACCACTGCTGCGCAACCCACACAACAACATCCTCACTTCCAATTTTATTAGGACTTATCTTTAATACAATTTGATAGAAATTAAGTCCAACTATCAGGACTTATTGATAGTTTATCCTTACAAATATCCAATGTCTATTACGTTATTTTAAAAAAAAAAAACTCGAATATCTATAACTTAAATAAATTAAAAAATATATAAATTACAAATATCTTGGCAACCTTCATTCATGTTTTCTTTTTTTTCTTTATTTTCTAATTGCTTTAATCTCATGGCTTAAGATAGAGATTAACTAATTGGTTTTAAAAAAACATCTCCTCCTTTTTTGTAGGAATTTGTTGGTAGATTGAGTTTGAGCAGATTAATTTAATTTTTTATTTATTTATTGTTATTGTCTATCATTATCGTCATATTCATCATCATTTTATATTAACTCTTAAAAACTCACATTATGTAAGAATAATTTTTCTTTTACTATCTCCAATGTTTTCTTAGGTTTCTTTGCTCTCTCTCTCACTCAATGATTTCTCACAACAGGTTTGTCTCTCCACTATTATTATTATTTTTTTAAATGTTATTGTACAATTATAGAATTTATGAGGTTGATAATATATAAATGTGCCAAATCATATTGTACCAGCATTAATATGAAAGACATAAGGACCCTTCCATCTATCATTGATTGATTAATTTTTCCATCCATGGAGTGAAGAATAATGGAGAGTTGTATATCCTTATGTGTTCCCTGAATCTCTCATGAGTAAACTGTTGTTACAAAAATTCAAGAGTTTTTACCAATAAGGGCAACACTTTTTTTTTTTTTTTTTTAATAAAGTTTGTTTGTGTGTAAAAAATGATAACAAAAAAATGTTAACATTTTTTTTTTCCAGGTACTTTTTGAGACATTTGGACACGATGAGAGACATCAATTGAGTTTTAATTTATCAAATATAGATAGATTTGATTTATGATATTGAGTTTATTATTAGTTTTTTTAGTATGTATATATTTTAGACATTAGGTTTATTGAGAAGCATCTTATTTATTGTTAGTATAGATTATTTCATTAGTTATAAATCAAGTTGATTATTCTAAGAAAAATTGATCAGTTTGATGATTATAATATTTTATAAATATTTGCTTTGAAATATTATCTTCACTTATGAAATTTGAAAAAATGATCTCTATGCATTATGATTATAATTTTATGAGTTAACTTAGAAATTAATGCGTTATTAAAAAATTTACACATTATTAAACCAATCTCGTGCATAGCACGGGTTCACCATTAGTATATATATATATATATATATTATTAAAAATATTATTTTTCTCATATTTAGATGGTACATTATAAGAATTTACTTTTTTCTAAGAGAGTCACGTCAACATGTATTTTCTTAATTACATATACAATTCTACACAAACCAAACCTAATTTAAATTATACTAACTTTACCTATTTTATATGGACTTTACCTATTTTCCATATATCTTTCATGGTAAATTGAGATAATCCATAAACTCAATACCAATTTTGTGTTTCACGTTTTTCTTCTTAATTCTTTCAATGGTATTAATATTTTTTTAAATGCTAAACCTTCTTCTTCTTCTTTTTTTTCTTATTTTCCCGTGCATTATTCTATACCCAATATCAATTTTATATTATTCAATATTATGAATTTGTCATTTAAATTTTGTAGTGATTCTATATATGAAATTGCATTTCATTTCCTACATTACTATATAATCACAACTTACAAGAGGAAAAATCTGCACAATAATAATACTCTCGATAAACTTATAAAGTTTGGATTTACTGCTTGAGGTATTTTTTTCAATTGTTGAATAAAAGTTTTTTTTTATATTTTGACATCATATTATAGATGATTAATCACTTCAAACACTAACATGTATCTATCGTTTGGACGTTTTCATTATTTTTTTCCTTTTTGAGTTTAGATGTTATGTGATTCTTTCTTGGTTAGTCGTTGTTGAATTTCTTTTATATAGTTGATATTTTAATTTAATTAAGTGTATTTAGTTTACAATCTTATAATTTAATATATATATATCATATAAAATCATTATATGATAATCCAACTACAAAATATTTATATTTAAGTGTTTTAATAAATTTTATATATTTTTTATTTCTGCATATTTTTATTTTCTGTTAATTTTATATTACTAATTCTTCTTCTAATTTAATTATAATTTTTAATATCAAAATGAATATTTATTTTACTATTTTATAAATATATATATATATATATAATACAAAATTATTATCTGATAATTACACTTTTATAATATGACATAAATAAAATTAACAAAATACACAAATAATTTAACTAAAATTAATATATATAAGTATTCAAGTAATAATTTTATAGAACGATACCGCCAATATTATCAAAATAAATAATTAAAATCATACTTTAACTGTAATTTTAAATTAAAATTATTCTTTTATAATACATATTATACCATCAATTATTTAAAAAAAGAAAAAAGAAAAAAAAAACACATGCAGTGCACGGGTCAACTACTAGTTTAGTTATATTTTATGTGATGGTATTTATTTATGTATGACTTATATTTTTTTAGTTATAATCAAAAAAGTATGAAATTGTATTATGTATGACTTATATTTTTTTAGTTATAATCAAAAAAGTATGAAATTGTATAATTTTCTTTTTTTGTTATGACATTATTTTAGTTATTATGATTAATGAGAACAATTTGATTATCGCTCGTGTAGTGTTTAGTTATAACTTCTTCTTCTTCTTCTTCTTCTTCATTTTTTTTAGTTATGATTAAAGTTATGTCATTTTTTACTTTAGTTATAACTAATTTTCTTTTTAAGTTAAAGCATTATTTTAGTTATGATTAATGAGATATTTGATTATTATATTATGTTTTGTAGTTATGACTCAAAAAATATGAAATTATGCAATTTTCTTATTTAGTTATAAGGTGTGTACGTCTCCCCCCCCCCAAAAAAAAAAGAAATGATATGAATAATTTTATATATATCAAAATGAAAAGAAATATTACAATCATTAAATTATATAAATAACATTTAATGAATAATTTTTATTTCAAAATGAAATAAAATATTACAAAAATTTATATCATTAAATAATATAGATTTAGATTATTGATGATGCACTACAAGAAATTGCATTTTTCGCAACGCAACCAAATATGTTGCTAAAAGGGAAAATTCGTTGGCAAAGAGTCTGCCGACACACAAAGTTACGTTGGCAACCCGTAGGCAAAAGTGAGTTGGCAAAAGTTATTGCCGACGAAATTATGATTGCGTTGGTAAAAGTAATGCCTTTAGCGACGAACATAGTCGTCGCTAAAAGCCTCCATCCATCGTCGGCAATTTACCTTGCGTTGGTAAAAGTCATTCAAATAGGATGATTGTGTGGCACTTTTCGCGACACAAATTTGCATGGGCAAAAAATATACTTTTAGCAACAACATATGCGTTGGCAAAAGTAAACTTTTGGCGACACATTTACGTCGGCAAATGTTGCCATTTGCCGACGATTTGTTTGTCGCTAAAGCTTTACTTTTGGCAACGACAAATTGGCATTGGCAAAAAATACACTTCTACCAACACAATATGAGTGGGGAAAAGTAACTTTTTAGCGACATATTTACATCGGTAAATGTTGCCATTTGCCAACGATTTGGTTGTCGATAAAGCTTTAGTTTTGGCAACGACAAATTGGCATTGGCAAAAAATACACTTTTAGAAACACAATATGAGTAGGCAAAAATAAACTTTTAGCTACACATTTACCGACAAGTTATTTGTCGAGAAAGCTTCACTTTTTAACAACGACAAATTTGCAACGGAAAAAATAATTGAAACTCATTTATAATTTTTTAAAAGATTTACAGGTTTACAAGAGGCATCCCGCAGGCACCACTATAACAAACTAATAACATGGATATGAAATCACACAAAATACCCCCTCCATACCCCCTCCATACCCTTCCAGCCAAAACACCAACAGTTGCCCGAACTTACACCTAATGACAACCCCCATTAATGAAAACCTGATCTATTACAGATTGGACAAAACGTCCTGCACCCTTCCAAACATCAACAACACCAGCAAACATCCAACAACAACATAGCAGCACCTCATCGTAACAAACACCATCACAGCAGCATCACCACAGCATCTCAGCAACAGCAGCAACATCACAGCAACACCAGAAGAATAGCAGATCAGCAAACTGATTCAACACAGATCATCACCAATTCAGAAAACCATTTCAACTCGGCAGTGTAATGAGTAAAAGTGTCACATGAGTAGAAGTGTCATATGAGTAGAAGTGTTAGTGCTTCTTGCATTAAGGTCTGGTTACTTGTTAGACAGATTTGAATTAGACAAAAATTCAGCAAATAGGAAAACAAAAGCATGAAAGGAGTAGCCTACTCCACAAGGGTGGCTTGAGATACACACACAAGTCAACAGGGAATTTCCACACTGGCTCTTTAATTCCAACTCTAAATTCATAATCAAGGAGGGGCCTCTTTATGTGGACACTAGTAAACCATAATGAGAAATAAACTTTCTAAAAATTACCCCATTTAGAAACTGTAAAATATTCAAAATCTACCAAAATAAGTAATTCTAAACAAGTAATTGGCTGGATTATAGCCCAAGAGAAGTCTACTAACCAACACACAAACTATAGCAAAGAAATCCCTAAAAATAAAATACATCCAAAACATTCTGAAGCTCCTAATAGGGGACTAACAAATTCTAATCAAGAATAAAATGAAGACTCATAAATAAACAAACTTCATACTAACTAGACAAACTTGAAATTATTTGCTTGGGATTTGTCCTGTTGTACTTACTGCTTCTGCATCACAATGTCACACATTCATGTGAATAATTGGGGCTTATGTTTTCAATGAAAGAACTGAGATTTCAACTATATTACACTGAAAATCAATTGTGAGAACAAGATGGAAAAATTTGTTACTAGCAACGTGGTCAAGCAAGACGAACTCAACACTGGAAACAGTTTTGAGGCATGAGAGTTAAATAATAGGAAGGCAGTTTTAGCTCCTGAGACATTTACGTAAGATTTTTCTACAAAATTAGACCTCAGAACTTAAATCTGTTTTCTTATGTTGTAGAGCTTTTAAAAATCATTATTGAAAGTCTCAATGTGTCCAAATTCATTGATGAAGAAATGATTACCGAGTGGTGTTCAAGTCTAAAATTTTAGTATGCATTTAGCAGATGGTCCTCAAGTAAATGTCCTAAATGCTAAATCCACCACAAGAAAGGAAGCATAATTTGAATGGAATTATAAAACTGCAGTTAGCATTTAATTCACTCAAAACCCCCATTGAACTTAACTTCAAAGTCAAGAAGAAAAGAAATTACTCATAATACACTTGAACAACACTAAGAAACTTACAACATGAGAAGACTTACCAAATTTTGAACAAAAGTATTCGGGAGATGTTTGGTTTGACTATCCCTTAGCAACTGGGGAACATGATTGTTGAAAACCCTGTAAAATTGAATCCAACGGAAGGATGTCTAGTAGCAAGGTAACACAGTATCTGCTTAAGAAAACGCTAGCAAATTCCAGGAATGTCATGAAAAAAAAAACTAACAACGGCATTTACATATACCAACACCAACCACCAAAACCTTGAATACCTATTGAGTTAGTATAAAAATGCACAGATCTTTGAAAGTAAACAAATGTTCCCATGTATATGTATACATGTAAGCACATAACAAGAAGGGCTTTCAGTGTTCAATAAATTTTGCAGCTAATTTCTTTAAAGGCATGGGTTCTACAAAATCAGTTCATTGTCAGAAACAGAACGTGCCAATTAGTGCCATGGTCTCAACTGGTGCCCATGGTGCAAATCAGATTATTAGCAGTCTCATCTATCAAGGTTGTGCCTGATCTAGAATTGACAATTTCGGATCAGAATGCTTATAAGGAATGCTTCAGGACTAGAAATATTTAAATTTTAAACACACAACATAGTCCTCAGTAAAGAATTGTGAACAATAATTTACCATGAATTTCCAGCAGCATTAGAAATAATGTAATAAATTATCCATGGATGAATACCAGCTTGGGCACCAAGAGAAATGGCCTCCACAGAAGAAACAAAATGAATGCCCTCAAGCAGCTCTATTACCATTTTAATTTTGCTGCAATTTAAAAAAGAAAAGTAGACATTAACAATAACATCATCTAATATGATATTAGAACACCTAACATAAATAAACAAAGAAAAAGGGCCATTCCCCTGTGCCAATCCCTGTTAAATTGGGTTAAACACCTAGCACAAACAAATTTACTATCAAGTGGCACAACCAAGACACAATTAAATTATCATTTGAAAAGCATTGTTCAAAGATATGAAATTACTTAAATTTGTATTGGAATACTCAAGAATCATTTAGTTGTAAGTTTATAGTAAATTAGATTTGACTTGGTTTACACAATCACTAGTGTAATATTAGGTCAGGTGTTGTTTTCTGCGCAAAGCCATTAGTTTTTTTTTTTAACCAAATTTTAATTCCACTTTTTGTTTCCAGTATTTACATGTCATCAGAGCCATATCACTACTAAGAAGCAGCCTATCAGTTCTCGTATTCCTGTCAAGTAAAAAAAATCTCCTATGGTTTCCTAGTGCTGTCTTGTGAATTTTCTAGTCTCCAATGGTTCAATAGCTACATGTTGAATATTGTTATAATTTAGCAATAAAAAGAGACAAAATGCTATATATTAGCAATGTTGCTCCAATGATGACTTTGCTCCCTCCATTTATTCTCCCATTTCAACTATCATTTCAAAATAACAAGTACATGCTACTTAATCAAACTTTATTAACTTAATTTAGAGTTACATACTGCAAAATAAAATAACACAAGACATAATCATGGAAGAGGAAGAACATAATAATCTGAGTTGCTTGATCATGCCAAAATTTTTGTGCCTGATCATTCATTTAGAGGTATCTCAAGTCAGCTCTTGTGAAATGGATCCTGTGCTCTAACCATGATCACTTAAAATTGAAAGCATTTAGTGATACAAATTGGGTTGGTTCAATCGATGATAGACAAAATGCAAACATATGTGTGTATAAGAAGAGAACATGTGCCTACTGTTGGTGTCTCTCATTAGCCTTTTCCTGTATTTCTCTCTCTTCTCTCTCTCTCTCTCTCTCTCTCTCTCTCTCTCTCTTCTTGTCTTCATCTTTTACCCTAAATTTAATTGTCACCAATTTTATATGAAAATTTGTCTCAACAACACAATTCAAATTGTTATAAAATCTAAACATGACAAAGAAATTGGTAAGATTGTGAAGAAAGCCCACCTTCCAGCACCAAGTGCCCCCTCAAAAACATAAAGTTTCTCACTCATAGCTGTTTGAAAAACACAATAGTTTGTCTTAGAGATGAAATAGAAAATTTAAAAGTAGTGATCAAAAAACTGAATCCTCATGCAAGTGTTGCAGAGTAGTGACATAAGTAGATTGTACCAGAGAGAATAGGGCGTGCCCTTGTAATGGCATCCAACTGTCCTGATGAAATAATCTGCGTATTATAGAAATATCAGCTTCAGCCAGTTATAAAATAGCAAAACAAAAGCAAAATGATCCTCTACTTATGTGAGGAAGAAATAGGATATGAGATATATAATCTTACCATTATTTTGCCATTCAAAACCTCTGGCATTGACACAGATTCCAGTGAACACTGCTTCCATATAAAGAATACATCTAATTAAACATACTGACATATGCATAGCTCAGCTCCCATTCCTAATGCAATATTGAACCTGCTGCCATGTCATGATCCTTGCTCCATTTAGCAGCAACTAAAAGTGATAACTCAGAGCCCACCCAGCAACAGGGCAGCCTTCTTATAAGCCCAGAGAACTCGAGGCCAATCCACAGCAATAGACAACAATATCACCAACCTCAAGGCCACACTCCAAAACAGCATGTCAATTTAGTATCAGTTAGGTAAAACAACATGTAAATCCAAATCTGTTAGAAGAAAAATTCCAAACAGCATGTCAATTTAATGTCAAGGGATGATCCATTGATGAGGCTTACCTCCTTCTGCAGCTTAATTGACAAAATCTCTGATTTTGCCCCAAGCTCAGAGAATACCTTTCCAAGAGCATCTCCTTCACAAGTGCCAAGAAGTTTGACTGCCTTCCCAAAATCTGACAGGGATTGCCCCAATTCTGTGGAAACACAATAAAAAATTATGAATGAATTTTATTTGATTTTATTCAAATATTAGAACAAACAAAGAAGAAAGCGGAATAAATGAAGATAATCCACAAAATATGATTTAAAGTAAGTTTGAAAAACTGGCACACCACAGAACCAAAAAAAATAAAGTCCTTAAATACCTCTGTGTCTCTTTACTAGGCGATATGCATGCTTCTGAGCTTCAGCTAAGTGATCTTCAAGCTCAAAGATATAATGTTTCAGTTTCTCATATTCAGGATTCGATTCTTCAACTGGTTTTTCCTTTCCAAGTACAACAGCACTTACTTTAGATTGTACATCCTGTCAAAAATCATAGAGAAGTCATATGGCAGATCATTCATCTTTTCAAATGGACATCATTCCCATTTCAGTGCCCCTTGCAATCCCAATTGGGAGCCAATGCAGTCACTTCACAGAGAAAAGATGACTGACTCAGATAACTGATGAGCTCTCTAATAGCAGAATTGTGCCCTTCGATTTATAAGATTGGTGCAAGGACTGGGGGATACTTTTTTTAAAGTGAACAAAATTCTTAATCAGTTCAATTTGACATATTAATAATAGGACTCTTGAACTATTGAGTGAGAAAGGTAATTTCAAGATCCACAGCATAGTTAGACTCTTCATCCCATGTACTATATCGCTATTCCACATATCACTGCTCATTATCATGTACATAGCATATCAAACACATAACTAAGCATCTTCTGGGGGAAATTAAAAAACATCATGACCACTAACAGAGTTGGTCTGTTTATGGAAACCTTATTGATTGCAGGTTCATCGCTTCCCAGTCCCAACAAATTGTACAGCAGGGCAGAAAGAGAATGTCCAAAATTCTCCAATGTTTTGTGAAATCATTTTAACATTAGATTATGGAATATTATTATTGGCCCACTAATCATTCGAACATTAGATCATCGAATAGTAGTTATTCACACACTCTATCATCATTCAATAACAAGGATGTGTTTACTTTTTAACCTCAAGTTACCTTGAAGATTTGCATCAAATCAGCTGGCTTCTTCTTAAAAATACCAGTCTCTTGAGATCTGTCCCTTTCCATTGTCTGCAAAATAAGGCAAGAAAATGACATCAGATTGATGACAGTGAAGAAAATGACATACTGACACTGCTTCCATATCAAGAAGACTAAGAAACTGCAGCTTAGGGAGTGATGCAAGAGGATCAATCTCAACCAAATTCGTTAGTTGATTGTTAGTGAGAACCAAAGTATGCAACTTGGGCAAGAACTCTGCAAATCCACAAAACAGAACATATTTGAATGATTGTAATTGCATAAGCATGTCACCTGCTTTGAGTGTATGAGAATTTTGTCAAACTCCCTCTTCTCAGCAAACGCAGTAACAACTTTTGGAGTCACTCTTGCTTTAATGTAAATTTTCAGTGCAAGGTCATTATCCATTGTCTGCAATAGAAACAGGATTCATTACATCAGAAATTCCAATAGAACAGATCTGATAAATAATATAGAACAAGCAACTTTGGGAAATTATTTTCAATTCAGGTAAATTTTTGTAAGTATAGTTTAAACAATGAGTAAATTTGAAACAGAAAGATTAAAAATAAAGGATTACAGAAAAGTTTTGTATAAGAACTATAGCACAATAAACATCATGGGTGTCCTCGAATCCTCCAAATCAAACCTTCACAAGATCTCCAAGCTCCTCGCTACATTCAAGTTTGTCCTCTGCCAACCAATTCTCCAAAAGATTCTTTTTGTTCTGATTTACAAAAAGACGAGATAGTTCCAATGACTCAAAAGCATTGAGCTTTCCCCTAGTTAAAAGAGTTCCAAAGTACTGCAGCAAAGGAGGTGTTTGCCCAGCTTGCACTGGAACACTCTGCAAAGCATAAAGAGTAAATGAGGGCCTTGACATTTACACCTTCTGAAGACAAATGGTTAGGGCTGATATCATGTTAATAAAACCTGAAATTTAGCAACAGTGTCAGAAGTGCGCAGAATTCCCTGCGGTGACTCTGCAGCAAGTTCCGCAGCCTCCTTATACTTCCTCCTCCCAACCAACCCATCAATTCCCAGAACACCACTATCAGAGCATCTTTGACATGCTGTCGTAGGAGGTGGAGTTGGAAATAGGCACCGATAACATGGACCTCCATTGTAATTGTAAACTGTAAGCTACACAAATGATTTAAGGATGCAGTTGCAGTAAGAATTTGAACAATATAAAACAAGAAATTCCACAAAGCTAACTTTGAAAAGGACAAGCAGCATATTTTGACTTTTTTGTGTGCTTTTACCTGAAGGTCTCATTACAACTTCTAAATCACATATTAACACCTGCAGTTTCAGGTCCTTAGAAATAAAACCAACCCCAAGTTTAACCAATGACTGCCGTAAGCTGACTCTGATTTCACCAACAGATACAGATTCAACAGCACCATGTGAATTGTCAAAGTCATAATAACGTGAACAAACATAATCCTATAGATGCACTCTGTCATCAGATAAAATATTCCATTGACTCTTTTCTTATACAAGTATGATGTTTAATAAAACTCAAGCAAAAGCCAAATAGTTATATCTCCAACTAATTATATCCTTTTAAAACCAAAATTGCTTTCAGCCTTGGTAAAGGGAACCTTTATAAATAAAAAATCAAAAACCAAGAATAATATGAAAGGAAAAAACAAAAAAAAGGTTGACATAGATGGAAAGCTTGTACAATAAAAATTATAAAATAAAAACTCACTGCTACCAACAAGAACAGAGGTATCAAAATATTCTCAGTCATCGTTCATACCATTTTAAAAGCCATCCAAAGAGAATCATTGCCAAGACATAAACTCAACTCAACAAGCCTTTGTCCCAATTACTTGGGGCCGGCTGCATGGATCCATTTCCTCCAGTTGATTCCCAAATTAATTAGAGAGACATGATAGCCAAAAAATGAATAAAGAATACAGCTTCAAAAGTGTTATGATGAGAAAGAATTCACAGAGAACAGTTAGACAGTCATTTTTTATTGGATGTATGATTTTCCAATATAAGCACAATGAAAATCATGGCCTATAATTCTTCCTAAAATATTAGAGAGACATGATAGCCAAAAAATGAATAAAGAATACAGCTTCAAAAGTGTTATGATGAGAAAGAATTCACAGAGAACAGTTAGACAGTCATTTTTTATTGGATGTATGATTTTCCAATATAAGCACAATGAAAATCATGGCCTATAATTCTTCCTAAAATATTAGAGAGACATGATAGCCAAAAAATGAATAAAGAATACAGCTTCAAAAGTGTTATGATGAGAAAGAATTCACAGAGAACAGTTAGACAGTCATTTTTTATTGGATGTATGATTTTCCAATATAAGCACAATGAAAATCATGGCCTATAATTCTTCCTAAAATATTAGAGAGACATGATAGCCAAAAAATGAATAAAGAATACAGCTTCAAAAGTGTTATGATGAGAAAGAATTCACAGAGAACAGTTAGACAGTCATTTTTTATTGGATGTATGATTTTCCAATATAAGCACAATGAAAATCATGGCCTATAATTCTTCCTAAAATATTAGAGAGACATGATAGCCAAAAAATGAATAAAGAATACAGCTTCAAAAGTGTTATGATGAGAAAGAATTCACAGAGAACAGTTAGACAGTCATTTTTTATTGGATGTATGATTTTCCAATATAAGCACAATGAAAATCATGGCCTATAATTCTTCCTAAAATATTAGAGAGACATGATAGCCAAAAAATGAATAAAGAATACAGCTTCAAAAGTGTTATGATGAGAAAGAATTCACAGAGAACAGTTAGACAGTCATTTTTTATTGGATGTATGATTTTCCAATATAAGCACAATGAAAATCATGGCCTATAATTCTTCCTAAAATATTAGAGAGACATGATAGCCAAAAAATGAATAAAGAATACAGCTTCAAAAGTGTTATGATGAGAAAGAATTCACAGAGAACAGTTAGACAGTCATTTTTTATTGGATGTATGATTTTCCAATATAAGCACAATGAAAATCATGGCCTATAATTCTTCCTAAAATATTAGAGAGACATGATAGCCAAAAAATGAATAAAGAATACAGCTTCAAAAGTGTTATGATGAGAAAGAATTCACAGAGAACAGTTAGACAGTCATTTTTTATTGGATGTATGATTTTCCAATATAAGCACAATGAAAATCATGGCCTATAATTCTTCCTAAAATATTAGAGAGACATGATAGCCAAAAAATGAATAAAGAATACAGCTTCAAAAGTGTTATGATGAGAAAGAATTCACAGAGAACAGTTAGACAGTCATTTTTTATTGGATGTATGATTTTCCAATATAAGCACAATGAAAATCATGGCCTATAATTCTTCCTAAAATATTAGAGAGACATGATAGCCAAAAAATGAATAAAGAATACAGCTTCAAAAGTGTTATGATGAGAAAGAATTCACAGAGAACAGTTAGACAGTCATTTTTTATTGGATGTATGATTTTCCAATATAAGCACAATGAAAATCATGGCCTATAATTCTTCCTAAAATATTAGAGAGACATGATAGCCAAAAAATGAATAAAGAATACAGCTTCAAAAGTGTTATGATGAGAAAGAATTCACAGAGAACAGTTAGACAGTCATTTTTTATTGGATGTATGATTTTCCAATATAAGCACAATGAAAATCATGGCCTATAATTCTTCCTAAAATATTAGAGAGACATGATAGCCAAAAAATGAATAAAGAATACAGCTTCAAAAGTGTTATGATGAGAAAGAATTCACAGAGAACAGTTAGACAGTCATTTTTTATTGGATGTATGATTTTCCAATATAAGCACAATGAAAATCATGGCCTATAATTCTTCCTAAAATATTAGAGAGACATGATAGCCAAAAAATGAATAAAGAATACAGCTTCAAAAGTGTTATGATGAGAAAGAATTCACAGAGAACAGTTAGACAGTCATTTTTTATTGGATGTATGATTTTCCAATATAAGCACAATGAAAATCATGGCCTATAATTCTTCCTAAAATATTAGAGAGACATGATAGCCAAAAAATGAATAAAGAATACAGCTTCAAAAGTGTTATGATGAGAAAGAATTCACAGAGAACAGTTAGACAGTCATTTTTTATTGGATGTATGATTTTCCAATATAAGCACAATGAAAATCATGGCCTATAATTCTTCCTAAAATATTAGAGAGACATGATAGCCAAAAAATGAATAAAGAATACAGCTTCAAAAGTGTTATGATGAGAAAGAATTCACAGAGAACAGTTAGACAGTCATTTTTTATTGGATGTATGATTTTCCAATATAAGCACAATGAAAATCATGGCCTATAATTCTTCCTAAAATATTAGAGAGACATGATAGCCAAAAAATGAATAAAGAATACAGCTTCAAAAGTGTTATGATGAGAAAGAATTCACAGAGAACAGTTAGACAGTCATTTTTTATTGGATGTATGATTTTCCAATATAAGCACAATGAAAATCATGGCCTATAATTCTTCCTAAAATATTAGAGAGACATGATAGCCAAAAAATGAATAAAGAATACAGCTTCAAAAGTGTTATGATGAGAAAGAATTCACAGAGAACAGTTAGACAGTCATTTTTTATTGGATGTATGATTTTCCAATATAAGCACAATGAAAATCATGGCCTATAATTCTTCCTAAAATATTAGAGAGACATGATAGCCAAAAAATGAATAAAGAATACAGCTTCAAAAGTGTTATGATGAGAAAGAATTCACAGAGAACAGTTAGACAGTCATT